TGTTACTTTTACAAAAAAAAAAAAATGTCTCTGTCATTTATAAATCTATTGGAAATGTTAATAATAACTGTTCATATGTAATGCATTATTGAAATGAAGGTAAGTAGAAACCCGTGCGATAAATTTTTTCGTTATACTAGTCTGCGTTATGANATCTGACCCTTTACCTGCCCACGGGGGGGATTTAAAATGACAACTTTTTCAAAAAAAATTAACTTTTTTCACTTAAATTTTTAAAACGTTCCGGAAAGTCTGACACTTTTATCTATATCTTAAATTAAAGCTAACATAATGTACTATTTTATTATATATATAGGGACCCCCCACAAGCTTTTCATGGTAAACAAATTATGGAAAATGATACAAGGGCCCAAAATTGTTGGCCCCTCCAATAAACATTTTCTGGCTACGTGCCTGTATGACATTATACAAGTCCGCACGGTCAGGCTGCCTAGTAAACTTCATAATAATTTTTAAAATATATAAAAATATATAATTCATATAATATAGTGAAATATATAAATTTTTTTTTATTAAGTCACAATCTTTCCACAATGATAATTAACAAACTACTTTAAATTAAAAATCGTATTACACGTTTGATGATGTAATACATTTTAAATGTATTTATTTTCTGTGGTATAAATATTATTAACTGCAATAAAAAATCGAAGATGATTTACCCTCAGTTTTTCACTCAATTCAACACTGGTGATGTTACTTTACTAAAACTACACTACTGTGAAAAAACTTTAGTTAATTAATAAAACCCTACAAAAAATGAAATATTAAGAGAACGTGAGGTAATGGGCTTAATAAAAGAAAGTATATAACCCGAAAAATGCCATAATAGACTACGTATTTGTTATGCGCTACATTACACGTTTAGTTAAAATTTAACTTGAAATGTGTAAATAAATAAAATCAATTTTTTTATATTATGTAAAAGGTTACATGATATACTTACTTTTTTTAGAATTATATATATTTTTATTTTAAAAAATAGCTGTAACTTAAGCTTATGTAACCTTTTATTAAGCCTACTAACCATTTTTATATTACAGAAAATAAATAAATTTAAAATTTATTACGTCATAGTTATTGATGTAATATTATTAACCGTTTATTCACTGAGAAATTCTGATTTTAAACAACAAATCATGATTGAAAAGTTGTATTTAAGTTAATGATAAATATGTTTACATTAATAATACAGACAATTTTCCAGAAAACAAACAAGTGGTTTCATTGGTTGTATCAATAAACTTAAAAGGGGTTTTTAAGTATGAAAAACTTATCTGATAATCCGATTGTGAAATTACTGTTTTGTTTTAAAATATTTACTATCAAATAATAAACGTTTTTCTAAAAAAATTTAAAGCTTTGTCAAAAATGTTATATCAGATCTAAATTTTTATTATTAATTAAAAACAAATATGTTAACTAGTAAGCATTAATACTTACTTAAACAACTCATTTTTATTCACAAGAAGTAACCTTTCAAAATATTCATGATAATTCTCGAGGTTTATTTTTTTATTTAGGTCAACTTATTATAGAAAAATATAATTTTTAAAGTTATACAGACTTTTGGCAATTTTTCTTTGTTGAAAAAACGATGTAAGTATTATGCGATACAATTATGTTAACTCATTAAGTCTAGATAAGTCTATAAAATTATTATACTAAATTTAATTAACGATATGATGTGTAATACGAGCCAAGTATTAATTTAAAATGTTTTTATGTAATCAAAAGCGTGTTAACCTTGTTGCAACTACAGACAGCATCCACGGAAAAAATGAGCGATTAATATAGTGACATCTCTAAAAAAAAATAATTGGAAATTTTTTCGTGTACTATTAATGAGTGCAAATGGAGCATTAAATGCTAAACTTAATAAATTAAATCTACCTTTCTTATATTATATTTTTAGACCTTATATATAGATCTACTAGGGATAGAAGAAGGCAAAAATCACTTGTTGTAGGTAGTATTGACTCTTTTTACAGCTCTGTATGTAACGAGTTAAAGAAACTATCATTGGTGGCACTATGAGCAAAATTCTAACATATTTATCATTTTTAGAAGCACTGGTTTAAATTTCATTTAGATATCATTATAGATATGCATTGTTAAAGTGTTAACAAAAATAAATATAGGAAAATATCAACCAAATATCATTGGCGAAGTTAAATTTATTACTTAATTAAAGACACTTGCATTTTGATAATACTCTGTTACCGTCAAGTCGCATTATTTTTAGATAACGTGTGTGTATATTTCTCAGAATTGTATTATTGTGTTGATATGAATAATTCATTTTAGCACTAAAACTAGTTGTTTAACTCAATTTTTAAGATGGATTAAAGAAAAAAATGTTCTTTGAGTACTGTATTTTATTTAAGAAATCAATTGTTATTTTGAATATTTACAATTAAAGAGATTGAAATATTTATTTCTATTTGTTTTATATTATTTATTTTATTTAATTAATTTTATTCAAGACATATTTATAACCAACTTTATTTTATTCTAAAACATTAATTAATAATTTAACAACCATCAAAAAACATGATAATATAATTGTTACATGTGATAATATGGTATATTAATAACAATAACAATAACGGTGTATATAACACTATTAAAAAAAAAAGAATTTTAATCGTATCACACGTCAAAGAGGATGTAACAAATTTAGTGTGGGCTCTATTATTTTATTATGAAATTATATGAACCTCCAATAGTCTGAAATAATTTTCGTTAATCCTGCAGTACTGTGGTACTGAGATTTGCAAAAATATAGACATTTTATTGTATTTTTAATCTACTTTTAATCATATTTTTTAAAGACAATATATTTTTATATAAATTAATGAAAAGTGAAATTTACGCTATGGCTTGAAACACACTTAGTTTAGTTTTCGGCACAGCGTTTATGGTGCTGTATAAATTACATTAAATGGCTTAGTCATATACAATTTGTTAGGATGTAAATATACATTCGATCATCAGGTGCGTAATGACAAAGGTCTAGGACATTTCGCCACCAGACTCTTGATATATAAATTTATTATTAACCCCTTTTCGAAAAATTATAATTATTTTAGCCTAATCCTTCATTGCACAAGTCCTTAAAATCCAGTATAATAAAAAATTAATTATTTATATGTCAAATTTCGGACTTTATTTTGTGTTCACGGTGAAAACAGACATAAAAGTTAATAAAAAAAATACGATTTTTGTAAAAAAAATTCTTTTTTATATTCCTAACATTATATAATTTGAACATAGTGTATCTAATATATAACGTTCTTAAGACTGTTACAAAAATAGTTATAACAAGTAGACTATGTGTTTTCTTATTCTTTAATTTTAATTTTAATAAGAAATGCGCAATTTTTTATGATATAAATTCGTAAATTAGAGCAATAAATCATTTTAACAAATATTATTTATAGATATGTTTAGTAAAATTTATCCTTGTTTTACTATGTGTTTCTTTTTTTCTTCTGTCTGTTACCACTTTTCCTTAGCTCTCATCGAACAGATTTCTTTCACCGATACGTTAAAAGATCACAAATCATATCTAGTCGAAGACATTACCCTCAAAAATTGAAAAAATTTCTCTCGTTCTCCGTAAATGGGGGAAACCTCCAAAAAAATTAGAAATTTAAAAATCGCTAATTTTCGAAATTTTTTATTCTTAAAACTGTCATTACTTTTTCAAAAATGAACAAATTATATTAATTTTTTTTTTATAGATGCTTGATGTCTTTACCTATCATTTAGTATATTTTTTTTATAAATTTAACCCTTTACCTGCCCACAGGGATGGATTTAAAATGACAACATTTTCACAAAAAATTAACTTTTTCAACTTAACTTTTGAAAGTGTTCCGGAAAGTCTGACACTTATATATATATATATCTTAAATTAAAGCTAATGTAATGTACTTTATTATGAAAAAAAAAAATTTCGGACTTTATGTTGTTTTCACGGTGAAAATGGCTACCAAATGCTATTTTTATGTGAAAATTCTCGATTTTATTTTTTACATTTTTAACTTTATAATGCTATAAATTATTGAAAAGTGTATGGATCAACACAATATTTTTATGAGAAATAATCTTTTTTTCATTCGACATACTTTTTGTTAATCAGGATATTAATAAGGAAAGAGCAGATCATGTAGCTTTTAGAATAATCCACCAATTTTTTAAAATTAAACACTATCTAAAGATTTGCATCGAAGCGTTTTTTTTTTATAGTGATTTTAATCACTGTCAGATATCATTATACTTGATCCATCTATGCCACGTCACCACTGTGCCGCGAACTTCCTGTGCTGGTTTTTTTTAATTATTATTACTCACACATTTTTTTATAAAACTTAAATTAAGATTAGATAGAAGAATCAATATATCGCATTAGATATTCGTCACAAATTAATCCAGAGTACAAAAGGAACTAAAAAAATAATGAAAAAACATTGCCGTAAATAATATCTCTAGTACATCTAAAAACCGAATTAAAACATTACGAGATATAACGTTTAAAATTTAAAAGTGGACCCTGTTATTGGTGCATCATATTATATTATTATTGGTCTACCATTTTTATATTTTATGCTTTGTTTGGGGTTTGTGTCAATTGCCTCGACAACATTGAAATGAGACGCTTATTTTACTATCGCTAAGTATTTTTTTTTTAATTTATCTGAACAGTTGAAGAGTTCAATGCCAATATTCAGTTATCTCTATATTCTGAAATTAACAAGGATAGAGAAAGATGTATTACCTATAATTATAGTACTAAACTCTATATATTATGCATTTCATTTGTACTATTTTTATCCGTGAATAGAAATGCTTAGTCATCACACTAAACTGACAAAAAAATAAATCTTGAATTTGAATCACGAATAACAAAATAATCTGTTAATATGGCACTGAACCCTTTAATTATAAAGTAAAAATTAAAAAGACATAAAGAATTAAAAAAAAAACAACAATTAATTTTTTATTATATTGTTCTTCAATACATATAAATGTATGCAAGTATATATATATATATATATATATATTATATACACATATTATATTAGCTTACAATCAACAGATGTGCATCAAATTTTGGCAAAATAAAATGTAAAAAAAAATACATATATATATATGAATTACACAACCTTAGTTTATGTAGAGTTTAGGTATTAATACTTATTGTACTCTAATCACTCAAATATATTTATCGTTTACATTAATTGTATAGATGGTTGATGCTTTAGTGATTTTCATACTATAAAATTCTTATGGACATTATTATTATAAGTTGAACCTGTGGTTATAAATAATTTATATATGTAAAAATTCTATTTCTAGCATAACATACAAATATAGATGACAAGTAACATTCTGAGTATCATCTACAAATATATTTAATACAATGTTTATATATTTTTATAAATATAAGTTTACATACAATAGTTATAATAATAATCGCAAAACTGCACAGGATTATAAATATTAAATAATAATAAAAAAATTATAAAATATTAATTAGTCTAAATAAAAATTTGACTAGACACTTTAAAAAATAATTATAATCATATTTTGAGTTCAGATTCTTACGCTCAAACGTAATTGTTACCTAATTTGAGAATTCAAAAAGAAACATTATCTAAAAATAAAAAATAAATAAGTAAGAAATTTCTAAGAGGTTTTTGTTCATAATCTCTAAAATTAATTATTTGCAGTAATTGAATGTTATTATCGTAAAAAGGAAAACAATTCTGATAATATACTATATGATGTTTATACAACATAGATTAAGTCAAACATTAATAATAATAGGAATGTTGTCATGATATTTTTCAAACTGCATGTAAGTATAGTCAGACTTAAAAAATTATGTCATTCATTTGACAGAATACACTAACTGGTCTCCTTTGTCAATTCTTTTTGGTATGCAATTGGTGATTGTATAGCTTTTAGGAAATCTCGTTGAGTTTGTAATATTTGCCGTAAGTTTTGTAGCCACTCTGATCGTGACTCCAAGTTATGTGCATGGCAAATATACCATAAAGGTGGTTTTCTTGGGTCTGTAGATTTAATGACAAATGCACCTTCGGATGATTCATCTGAAGAATTACTGCTAGATGACCCATGTCTTTCTTCCAGGTTCATTTTGTTCACCTGAAAAATAGAGGTTTTGTAATAATAATGACATTTTTTTTTTCAAACTCCAACATACCTGTATATGTGCCTTATAAACATAAACTGGACTGGTGAATTGAGTTTTCTTGCCTACTTCTTCACTAAAAATTATGCTTTGTTCAAATAAGAATACATGAAGGTCTTTAGCGACAGACCTACTGCTATTGGAACTTGGACCTTCAGTGCAAGTTAATAGTCCATGAAGTAAAAGTTTACCTTGGGCTGTTATTTTTCCCTATATATATTAAAAAAAAAGAACGAAATATTGTACTTTTGCAGTTTAATAAAATTTACAATTAACAGTTAATTGTAAATTGTTATAATTACTATAACAATATATTATACATACATCAAATCCTTGTAACCTTCCAACATCCATCATATCATTAGCTGCTTTAGGTACCACTTTCATGACATGCATAGCTTGTTGTAGAGCTTCCATTTCTTCTGCGAGCCTAGCTCGTTCAGTATACTTAAACATATCTCGTAAAAGCAATTGATATTTCATAATTCTCTGTACAGGTTTTATTAAAATGTCACAAAGTTGTAATTTGTGACCTAGGAACTGTCTTATTTCCTATAGGTAAAAAAAATATGGAACTATTATTAAAAGTTTTTCATATAATAAGAGTTATTAAACAATTATAAGCTATTACAATATTTTGATAAGTTTTTAGTAAAAGTACACTAAAAATAATCATTATAACTCTATTTCAAATGTGAATACAAAAATAACACTTTTTTTACTTTGTATTTTGGTCTTTAGATTTGATTTCTTCACTATGAGTTATTTGGAATAATGCCAAGAAGTTTGGCAAAATAATTTAACAGATTATTCTAGACTAGAGCATTAAGTTTAAATTACATTGCTTTATGTATCTTCAACTAATGATTTTAAATAGTGAAAGCCCTTTATAGACATTTAATTTATTTTTATAAAGAATATATATTTATTATATTATAAGCACAAAAGTATCATTAGTGTAAGTTGGAAACAACTAGAAAAATATTAGTTATATTCTATTCAACAACTAGTATTTAATATTGTGTAATTAATGTGTTCATTTTTTTTTTTAACTAAATTTATACTTTATATCCTTTTTTGTTAGATAACTATTTAGTTATAAATTATTTATTTACAAAATTATACTGAATTACTGTTAAAATATAATATGGTCAATTGCATATTTTTTAATAAAACAAATTATTAATTGTTAATGAAATATACCTCGAAGTAGTAATCATATTCTGATACGAGGTACTCAGAAACTGGTTTATTCTGGCAATAAACAACATACATTAACAACTTGCGCTCATATTTTTTGAATAGCTTTCCAAGTTCATGAGGTTGTGCGAGACATCTTTCAACTGCCGCCAAAAAGACACTAAAAATAAACATTTCAAATTTTAATCAAATATTTTACATTTTATATAACAAATAAATGTGCTAAGATATGGCATACAATAACTTTTGTTCAAATTATCATGTTGATCATTTTTTTTTTTAATAATTATTACATTTTTAGGGTTGGAATAGATCAGACTTATAATTAAGTTATTTTTAATGGATCGAATTGAGTCAACATTTTTTGGCTTGCAAGGTTCCAGTACACAAGTACAGGCTGCATCTATCTTCGCTAGATACCCTCCTACTTATGTAATAAAATGCTTGTAAAAAAATTTGCAACAAAATGATAATTGGATAAAAAATTATTGGATTTTTCATATCTTTGTGACTCAGCCTGTATATATATATTATACATACTCTCTATGCCATTCATAAATTAGTTCTATATTTCCAAAGATCATTTTATCCTTTCCAGACTTTAAATCTTCGGGAACTGGTATATCGCAGCCAGCAGCCGCGGGATCTCTCATCACAGCCATGTAGCCTTCAACAACAAGGGATAAATCACGGACATAATCCCTTTCAGTCTCAACAAGCTCTCTCATCACATATTCTCGTTTGTGCAATGCTTCATCATACTCGTTTTCATTTTTTAACCTCGATTCACCCATTGTCTTGTCATTATGTTGTTCCTGAAAAAACAATATGACAATATGAGTTAAAATAAACAAAAAATGTAATAATAGTAATGATGACAATCGGAATTAAATAAAATAATTTATTTAAATTGCAATCGATATTAGGAATTTTTTAGAACATTATAAAATTAAGATCATGTTTGATCCAAAACAGATCAAAATTATTGCTCCAAAAGTTATAATTTTATTTAAAATTTTTTATCATATTTTTTTACATGAATGTTTCAAAATCATTTAAGCTAACTGTACACTAAGAAAAATTCTATAATAATCAAAATTGTTAGATTTATTGAATAAAATGGATTTTTTTTTTTTTTAATAAAGTTTCAAATTCTGATCAAATCAATTATCTAAAGTAAAAATATCAATTAAACCCAACACGAAAAAAAGCACTCCCAAAAACAGCTGTAACAGTTTGGCAGTAATAATGAAAATATCATTTTCGAAATATGTAATCACTGTTTTTGAAGTACTTTTTACGATGTTCAGTTTATTTAATTAATATTTTTTATTTTTAATTAATAAGCGGCAAGTAATCAATAATAATGTTTTGTTTTAACTTAATTATTTTTTAACATAAAACAAAAATTAGTATAGAAAATGTTTTAAAGCCATGCACACAACTAAAACACACGAACGAAATGTCTAAAAAAAAAAAATCACACAAGTCACACTCAAAATTCACCATTCTCTCTTTGACGATTTGCTCGATTTCAGCCAAATCAGCCGTAGACGAAGTCGATACTTCTGCCGATAGCCCCGACGTCTACAGTAGATAAATACACCACATTTCATATTTTATAATAATACTTTTAAAATAAATGTATAAAAACCATTAAAAACTCACTCTTTGGGAGGCTACGCTGACTGTGTCAGCATTAACGAGTATGGACTCAGAAATGGGTTTCATGGGTGGAGGTAGTTCTAAATCGTCATCTGGTTCGTCGCCATTTTGTTCGTCCTCAACAGGCAATGATTTTGTCACTTCTGTTACTGGCGACTAGAAAATTATAAAATTGCAATTAGTACCATTCAAATGCAAAATCGATAAATAAAATAAACCTTATATTTCTTGTCCGAACTCTTTTTGTTGGTTGAAGACGATTGAACGTGGTTCTTGTCCACTTTGTTGCCTGTACTGAATTTTCTTAAAGGCGTAGGGATCCACATTCTCCTAAATAATTTGACAAAAATGATGTTAAATACAGAAAAAATTGACTAAACGGCAGTAGTAATTGATTAAAGTCACAACAACTAGAGGCCTCATATGGGTATAGTGGAGCGTATTACCATCTTTATGGTAATCGCCTAGAGGTTAACAAATCTCTAACCCTATAAGGAAACACGGACAACAAAGTGGCGCTTGTTTTTTTGTTACAGAACATGGTGGGGTAGACACAGCGCAGCCATCATCGAAAAAATTATCTTAAGGTAACACGACTAAGCACGCGATTATTCAACAAAAAACACTACGTACAAAAATTATGACATAATGGGTTCTAACAAAAAAATTATTGTCGAACCATTTTTCAAAAAACAAATGGGTTCCTAAGGGACATGTAAATGTACAAAACAATAATACAAGAGATGTTTTGAGTATCAAGATGATAATTAAAATGTTTATATTTACCAATGATGTATTAATATAAATCAATATTAAATGTTGGTCTGGCTCCGAAAATTCTATAAAATTTTGTATATTTTATTACGGTTTTTTAATGTGGGTTTTGTTATCTAAAACACAATAAGCAAAACGATTTTTTCTGTAAGACCAGAGCGAGTTGGGCGGTCGCGTTCTCCTCTAACATCGTTTTTATACTAACATCATTGGAACAAACCGGAAAAACTTTTCGAATAATAAAAGTATAATATTTTGTTATACACAGTACAAAAACAGAACTATTACTATTATTATTATTAGATATTAGTTTTATGGGCGATAATTTTTTTTCTCAAGAACAATAACAACAATTTAATGTGATAACTTAATAAAACAAAATTCCGATAAATATTACTAACTGAATTTTACTTTGATAGTTGAACAATTAATATTTACATATAAAATAATTATTCAATAATAAATATTGTGCAAACCAAAATAAAAATAACTAAACCAAACGCGTTGAAAAAAACTCTCCATTTTATGAGTTTTATATCTTAACACAATCGTTAAAATAATATATACGCTAGTCGTAATCGTGACTAATTGAATTTACGTGCTATTTATGATTATTTTAAACATGAAAACAATTTAGAGAGGTCTATGTCAAAGAATAAAAGGAAATACACATTGACTAAGCTATTTCATTATTAATCAATATAAATATTTAGATGGTAGCCAGTATTTGATAAAAAATCGACATAAATCTCTTTTTTTCAACTATAGACATGAAATGTCTAAAACGTTTGATAATATATCTGACATAGTAATAATATTAACTATTTAAAACAATCGGTTAACACTTACCCACTGAAACCTCTTCTCTTCGTCACAGGTGAATTATTACAAATGGTATTTTCGCATTCTCCAATAGCTTCTGAAATCATATTGTTAACGTGTAAGTATCTCCAGCTCTCAGAACGCATCATTTTTAGTTATATTTTAATAGAAATACATCATGAAATAAGTAAATATTATTGTTAAACTTTGGCAAAAACAAGTAGCGTGACAGGTAAGCAGATTTGTTTAAAATTTAATATAAAAGTAGTGCTACGGAGAGCAAACGAACAAACAATGTTGGTACATATCAATAATATGTTTTCATTGATTCTGGTTATAATCTAAACAGGACATTTCTTATCGAGAATTGTTTTCATTTGTGGATGGCCAGGCGCTAACAATGAGTCATATGATAAAGGTGGAAGATATTCTGAAAAAATAATATTATTTTTCAAATTATACCTTACTGTGCTAGAAACAAATGTAATCCATCCATTTGACGCGTGTTGGACTTATAACACATTTGAAAGTGGTCTAAGGTAACGAGTGAACTATTCTCCAGATATATTAGTGTAATACACTAAACTGGACGGTGGGTGGATTTCGTTTTTTAATATAACAACGTCATTGCTCTATGCGTGCCTAACCCGAATACGCTTGCACGTAATAACATTTTGATTATTAATCACTTACTCGAACAAAACAAAAAATATAAATTCCAAGTAGCTTTAATTAAACAAAAATATGGAAATAAATCAATGCACGCGAGTAAATGGCATTTAACAATTACATTAGCGAACGAGGTCAGCGCAGAATTTTGTGGAAAAACGATTGGCAAAAAGAGAATGGTGTGAGGTGGGGGCAGCAGACGTTATTGCGGAGATAAGTTCAAGTTATTAAAGTGCAATGGAGCACGACATAGCTAATTATCGCCTAGGCCATCGAAACTAGCGTTTGATTAGAATAAAAAAAACAATTTTTCACTCAAACACTGCCTGTCGGACGACATTTGTATAGAATACCTTGAGAGTAGTAATTGTAGTGTCCCCGATTAAGAAGATTGTCATCCTCATAGGTATTCCATTTATTTATTTCAAAATAAATGTCATGCGGAGGAGATCATGTTAGTTATATTTATCAACGACAATTTTAAGAAACCGCTCACGGTAGTTTCTTTATAAAGGCATCCGTAAATTTAGCCGCTAAGCGCATAAATAATAATTTATGATATCAATATAATTTAGTGTTGATTGTAATCATCGTTATGTTGATCTAAAAGCGAATACTAGGGCATTATCAACACTGATACGGGCTCGCACAGTACATTTTATACTCTGGCGGCAGTGTTTATCGTATGTATAAAAAATGTAAACTGACAATTCTCGTTTAATCGAGACAGCCAAAAGTGCCGCATAATAATAACACGCAAAACATCTTAAGTGTTCGAGGGAAGTGCGGCGGTGACAGTGTCAAAAATAACACATGCCGGCAGCCCGCGTCTCTCTCTCTCTGTCGTTCCCCTATCATATCCACGTCAATAAAGTCCGTTATGTCATTACAACGACGGTATATAATGTATGCAGCTGACCTAAGGGATACTTTCCGGTGAAGTCAACAAACGGCTAATCGCCGTTCAACAACGTCGACATTGATTTAGATGAGTCGGCCGTCAAAATCAATTGAAAACTCGTGAATGTACAAAATTCGGTCGTTGAAAATCGGTACAGAATAATGAAAAAACTATGAACGCTAATAATTGTTTAAATCTTAAACAAGGTTGAGTCGACTATAAAAATCCACACTGCAAGTTGGAAAATGCGAAAAACGAGGTTATGTAAATTAAAAAACGTGAATATCACAACAAACGGACAGTGTCACACAAATATTGACTGTTTTATCGAGAAAAAGTGATAGTGTGCGATGACAGTAGTCTTCTGGCGATTCTTCGCCGGCGCACTAGGGTAACAATATGGTCTAAGTCCAATGCCATGTCGTAAAACCCAAGGACTTGATGATTGATGTGCTGTAGGGTATTCTAATGCGAACGACAAACAAAATGTAATAACGTTGTGCACACAAAATCGAAGCATTTCTTCAACGTATAGAGCACATATATTTACATTGTGGTGGGATACGATAGAGGCGCCACGGGACTCTGTGGGCTAAGAATTAATCCGTTGGGCGGTCCCGTCCTAGCTCAACAATAGTAATAACATTATGTTGTTAATGAGTTCATAAAAAATGTTTTCGGTCGTTACGAAATCCTGGAAAAAGTCATTTCGTCCGAGTATAATAATTTCAGAGGTTACGGACAAATACAATAAGAGCGCGGCGACGACGTAATTGGTAATTGAACGTCATTTTTCAACATATACTTTTTATCATAACTATAACCACATTTTTATTACGCAGTCGCGTTTAATTCGCGTATGGACGGATTAAAAAAAAAAAGGTTCTGACCTAAATAAATTATAAAATTTTATTCTTGCTGGATTCTCAGGTTATCGCGATTATGGTAATTTAAAACGGATGAAATGTCTATTAAAATGTATAGCAGGCGGGGCATTTGAAAACGGATAACTTCAGTACATCCGCAGGACGTCGGAATACATTTATTACAGAGTTAAGTGGAAGTCGTTTAAGGGCTACGGGGACATTTTAGAAAGGAAAAAATCTATGAAAAATAACTAGCATTTTGAAACTAATTATACAGACCCGTTGACAACACTCTGATTCGGCACACATGCGACGTGAAATCTTACTTTTTTATCCAAGTGCTCTTTTTGTCCTGTCAACTTTTGAATGGCGCTTATTTATTCGCAATCGCAACTATGTGCGTACAAACCGTTTATATATTCATACGCGAGTATACAAGTGTAGGTCGAGAACTTCTATACGTTTCAGACACATTACTACAGCGGGAAGAGTATAAAAAATAAATAAAAATTCTTTGCCGACTGCCGCCGCCGCCGTACCGATCAATGAGAAATTGTCGGTCGCGGCGATAGTGACAAACGTAATTACGCCCGTTGGATAATTTAAAATCAATTTGCAGTTTCCCACGAACAACAAATACAAAGACAGGAGGAAGGGCCAAAATTGGAGAGGGTTGTTTTCACATTGTTGTCGTTGCTTTTCGCTCGTCTCGTGTTTCCAGAACACACAACTCCACTCCCTCAACCGTATCATAGCAATAAATGACAATAACTGTTGTCGCGGTCAAGAGGCAAAGTCCGAGAAGGGAAACCGATAAAAAAAGATTTCGACGATGAAACCCATACAAAAGATAATCAAACGTGACCTTTAAATGTGGAGCAGTCTGTGCGATTACAAATTCATTACATAAAACTTGCATTCATTAAATACTCCCGGCACGTCCAAAAAGTAATATATATTATGTATATTAATTGTACTTAAAAAGTGATGCGATGACGAGTACTGTGGTCCGAGCAAAATGCGTCAAAAAATGCCCAGACGATTTGCTGTTAAATCGACAGCAAAGAATTACAATGCAAAGAGATGAATTTCGATACCTAAGCAAGTTTTTACGAGTACACAATTGAGATATTTATTTTTTTTTTACATATGATGTGCCTAAGACAATAGGCTCTATTATTATTTAATACTATACACAATAGCTATTGAAATAACTCTTTGGATACTGGCGAATTCTCAAGATAAAGCTAAAGACTTTTTAAGAAAAAAATTCTAAAAAATAGATTAATACGATTTTCTATTGCACACATAATTTGATTTCTACGCGCTTTGAAATTTACAAATGTTATGACGCATAGCGTAATAACGTTAAACGCAGAAAAAACGCTTTTTACACGGGTCTAATCTTTAGGTGAAAAATAGGGGCTATTTTTTAAGCCACCCGCTGGTTTGTTTTTCAGTATCAGTGAAAACAATGCAAGTCAAATAATTGCTTATATTTAATTTATATTGAAACTCACGGGCATCGAGAAGAGGCAATCGGTCGTCGTAGGGCATTTCGCAGACAATAAAAAACGGTAGGAGAATGCGTACAGGTTAATGTAAAAAAATCGGAACCAACGAAATTCAATCGACACACTGTCACTAGCTGTCGGCTACTAAAATGTTGTTATTGCAATACAAGCAATGTGATAGTACACTGTGTACGCCGTAGCCGATCGTAATTGGTAACACGATGGGGAGGTCAACGAGGAGGGTGTCAAAAGTTGTGGTTGGCAAATTGTTGGCATCCGTTCGGCTGTGCGACATCCGAACAATATTGCGAGTCCTACGGCACAGATAAAAAGTGTTGCAAAACCCAATTCGTTCATTTAGTTAATTGATCTGGTATTACGCGCCGACGAACCGTTTAATCTAATAAATCTAAATGGTCCAAACAGTAACTAACTTGAGTATTTCAATGACCAATTTGATACAAGTGAAATTGGATTTTGTAACCGAGTTAAATCGAGATTATTAAAAAAGTTAAAAATTGTCACCATGCACAAACATGTTTAATTTACGTGTAACTTTTGCATTTGGCGACTTAATGGCGTCGTTTTTTTTTATAGGTGCTATAAAAACAAATGATGCCATCCATACGGCAGTTTCTTAGCATCGTCAAAGTTGTGCTCATTACCTGTGGTGCTAATAGAAGGAACGGCGGACCCGTTATGGTTATTACACGGGGTAACTTTAGTGGTAGTGGTGGTGGTGGTGGTGGAGGTGATCTCGGTTGTTTCTTCGGTGGTTTCTGAGGAAATAACGCGGCGATGGCTTTCGGAGTGTCTGCGGCGGGGGACGTCATCGGCGCGTTTAGATTTTTTATGCCGAAACGACCGAATTTTTCTGCTCCACCGACTCAGCCGACCGGATTCGTCCGATTCGCATCCAGCCGAGATCCCGTCAGCTCCGCCACAGCCGTTGTCGGTCGACGACGAGTCTGAAGAATCGTTACTGCTGCTGCTCGACCAAAATCCCATTGTGTCGTCGGCGAGGTGCTGCACACGTCGATAAACGACGATGGCGGCGGGGAAGCCGAAAGACGCGGAGACACTGAACGGAAGAGCGGTCGCAACGGCGCGAGAGATATAAACGTGTCGCACGTAACGATCGAGCGTG